AAATCCATACCCGCAGCCTGTCCCAGGTAAAGCACCGTCTGTGTGTCAGGTGCAGCGGATAAAGCAAAACTAGAACAAGTGCTGTTGCTACTTTCAGTTTTCCCAGGATATATTTTTTTTTAAAAGGACCTTCTACAAAGACTTAGCAGAAAGGGTGGGGAGAAAGATTTGATCGTATCTGCTGGCCCTGATTTGTGAAACAACTGTAATTAATCCTCCTGCATTACAGGTTCACTGTTTTGGCCAAAGGCAGTTCTTTCTTTCATCCCCAAGTTCTTACGCTGCTGTGAACACGTCTTTGTGCTACTCCTGTCAGGTGGCCTCAGAAAGGGACTTTCTTTGCCCTTTAATAACGTTGTCTTGATTAGCAGTGTGTATGTGTGTATGCTGGCTTTGTAGGACTAGAAATGAGATGATCGGTTTATCACCAGTGACTTACTGGTGAAAAGATGTCACATCTAAGTCTAGAAGCTCTCAGCAGAGGTAGGGAGGGATGGTAGATAGCACAGCATAGTGCAGAAACATAGATGGGTTAATTCTACAAGGGAGTTGCTGAACATTTGGGATAGAGAGAAAATTTCTCTGCAAATCCATCCGTCTCGTCGTCTTCACATCCAGTGTTACAAGCCCTTCTGATTCATGTTGACTTGATGAGCTGGAAGAACCTGCTGAGCCTGTGATAGCTGTGGCCAGAGGATTAGCAGCTTCTTTCCCTCTTCAATTCTGTTTTTAGACTGGGATACATCTTTATTGAAGATTAGCAGCCTGGTGGGTTGGGGAAATTAAATTTCACGAGGGCTGCAAACTGGAAAGCACATATTCAGAGGTGTGAAAATGAAATGGGGAGGTTTTAATGTAGTGACTTCTTAATGAGTAGATCCTATAGCCTCGAGCCTTGGGGCTTTTCTGGAGGTGAGGTTACTTCAGAGTAACAGGTGATGTGAATTTGAAGGGGAAGTTCCGGAATAATTCCTCATCTGGCACTCTTGTCCCAGAATAAGGGGCCATTTTCTGAATTAATTTAATACCGTTGCAGAATATATTGGCTAATACATTCATTAGCTATTCCATAGCTGTTATTTTGCTCTTTTCCCAAGCTTGTGAGAGGGCTGGCTTATCGTCCCCTTTGGTGGGTGTCCATCAGAGGAGGCGTCCTGGCCGATTCCTGCCAGTGCATTAGCCCCCCTCCTCGGGGCTGTGCCAGTGGCTCTGCCAAGTGCCCGCTGTGGTCACTGCCCTCCTCCCCTTGGAGCTGAGCTTGCTCTCCTCTCTTCTTTTCCCTCTTGCAAATCTGGCAAGCCAGGACCAATGCACTCGGGGTGTACGCTGTGAGCCAAGCCCCGTGTGCCGCTCCAGCTCTGCTCCCTCTGTACTCCAGCCAGCCGACACGCACCTTCACCTTATGTTAATGAAACGGCAACTTGGGAAAATGTATTTTCAGGAGCCACATCGGCCTTTCCCCATTAGTGTGCTGTTGTGATACGGGGAGTGTGGTACTTGAAGCATCCCCTAAAAGAAATGGCACCTGTATATATGGGCACTGCTCATATATTACGAGCAGCATGAGCTGCCAATACATTTTATTTCTTTTTTCCCCTCCTACGCATTCAGGTCATTTTGTGACCTCTCCCTGCTTGATTTATTTGGCAGGCTCTCTCTGTGGGAAGGCAGAGGGATGGGTGTGTTGTAGCCTATGAATGTTCTGCTCTACGCCAGCTTATTTGCATTCACTTTTATCAGGTGCATATACCCGGTGTGTTTCTAAATGTCTGGAGTCGTTTCTGGTTGATGTAGTGCTGCCTTGTACTGTGAACATTCTTCTGTGTCATCTTCAGATAAAAATTTAGATCTGTCAGGATTGTTTTTCTCCCGAAGGAAGTGAAATTAGTATGAGATTTTGTTTGACTTATGTGGATGTTTCGGGAATGTTCGCCATCTGATACACTTGCATGTAGATGAGAGCAAAGGCATGTTTTGGGGTTTTTTTAACCACATGTAGACAACTCAGTATGATGAATGGGTTTATTATTCTGTAAGGTGCTTGTTGTATTATGCTCCTTTTTGCCTTTGTCTTTAGGGAGAACTCTTTAACCACTTCAGGGATTGATTGCATTTGATTAGAGAATAGTTTGTCTTTTGAATCCATTATCCTGGATGAAAGTCCACAAGTTTATTCCGTTTTCTGATGCAGCTGGAATTGCACTGTGTGTGCATTATGTGAATGCGGACCAAAAGCAAAGTTATTTTGTAAGAGCCCATTTGATTTGATGAGTGGCCTTTTCTGATAGAATTATAATACTGGATTGCAGGTGGGGGTAGAAATGAGCCCACAGCAGCTTTCAAATAGAGACCTTGTGCCTGGGAGATGGGCGGAGGGGTGGGCAGTGCTGTTCTGGCCTGATGTAGCTGAGGGTGAGCTGCCTTTGGGAGGGGTTACCTGGCAGGAGCACTTGCAAGCCTCGCTTCTCATTGTTCTTCGATGAAAACCTTTCTTTCTCCTAAACACAACCAACATGATTGTTCCCTGACCAGTGTAGTGTCTCTGCTCTGAAATGGTGACCAGATTTACACGGGAATTGAATACACAGGCTGGTGCTCCCAAAGTCTGGCGTTACAGCATCTTCCTCCAAGCACGACAGGGCGATGGGGTGAGGATGGGGAGAAAGACCAGGTGCCTAAGTGCGAGGAACCCACAGCATCCAACTCCTCTGAACTGTTTCTATGAGCTCTGATTTAATCTCCGAAGATTCTACTTCGGTTTTCACTTTCCTGGAGGAACGCAGCATTTCTGAAGTGCCTGACTGACAGAGAAGGTTTTAAAGGGGGAAGAAGAAAAAAAAAAAAAAAAAAAAATTGCAGCTTATCATAAATTTAACAGATGAACTGTCAGTTTCTTGAAGGTGTGTGATCACCACAACCTTTTCTTGGATTCTGTGCTGGCTATAGAAAAAAATTAACCTCTAAGTTGCTAAGCTCATGTAATGCATTTCATCACTCAGTAAGGTGTTCCTTGGTTTACAATTCGCGGGCTTCGTTATTCCTTTTATTATTATCTTTCATAATACTGGACTGTGGTCTAAAAGATATCTTTGTGTGGGGTTTTTTTTCAGTATATTTGTATTTACTCAATGATTACTGTAGGAGGTATGGAAGAATTCTATTCTTCTCAGAGTCTGCTTCCAGTGAGTGAAGCTTTTGCCTTTCAATAAAACCGGTCATTTTATTAGGTTTTTTTTTCCCCACAGATGTCTAATTTGATAGGCACAGTAGAACTGAAATAATACTTTTTATCACTTGAAATGTTTGAGTATTTCATAACTTCTATAACAAATTGTGTAACTTGAGAAGCTAAACATTTGTAAGTAGTTAATCTGTCTGATGTAAGATTTTTACAGAAATACGCATATAGAACTTCAGAGTTTCTGAAAAGCATCCTGATTTTTCTGTCGGTGGTAGCTTTTCCTCCTGTTCTTGTGTCTCTCTGTATCACGCAATCCTCATATAATCATACTCCCTTTGCGTTGTCAAAACCCTACATAAAAATCTTTGCTTTTAATTTAAATCTCTGAAATCACACTTGGATTTTATGTTGGCTGCATTTATGTTGTGTGACAGCCGCAGGAGGGCACATCTGGGGATCTTTGCTTATACCTCTGCCTGTCAGCTGGCCATTCAAAAAGATGTTTTGACTCTGAAAGCTGATGTCTGTATGGTGTGTCTTGGCCAGCACTGGTTGCAGAGTCACTTCTCCTCCTTTCTTGCCCTGTCTTTGCCACGCAAAAAGTAATTTCAGGGGCACCATCCGCCTGGCCCTCCTCCGGTTTGATCCTTCCGGTGAAACTTTCGGTAGTAGGAAATGTCAGAATATCATATATTTATTTGAAAGTGATGATGCAAAAGGAGAGAACCACTGAAGTTGAGCAATTTGTAAGAATAAAAAGCAATAAAAGCATCATCACCACGGTCAGAAGTTGGGTGGGGGACAGAGGCAAGCAAAGGTCTTTCTCCGGTAAATTTAATTCATACTTTTTGCTAAATGTAAATGATAGCTTAGGGAAAAAATGCTTGGAATACATAGTAAATGATGTTGCCAGGATACTTCCTGATCATGTTAATTAAACTGTCCCACAGATTTGGCTTAATTACCGCATAATTTGCATATTGGAAATGATGGTACACATTACTAAAGAAAGCTCCTATTCTGTTAGCAGAAAGAACATTGTACATGAATTAATTTCCAGGGGAAGGAGTCTCTAGACTCATATAATGATGTATCTTGAAAATAAAGTTAGGATTTTTGATAATGAACTGACGTATATCTCATTTCTTTTCGCAAGATTACATTTTATGCTTGTTCCACTAGGTTCCTTAGAGACCTCATCCCAACAGCCTTCCTCTTGTTGGCTCTTGCTTTAATTA